CCCCCCCCCCCCCCCCACATCCACACCATACACAAAATTTTAATAATGATTTTATTGTCAGAAAAAAAGAGTGTCAGCAAAGCTATTCAGGATTCTAATTTGTCTTGCAAAGCAAAGGCAAAAATAAAAAAAAAATAAAAAAAAAACAAAAACAAAGAACTTTTGCAAAATCAAATAAGATCCGATAAGATTCTTACTAGTTGAGTACAACAGAAGTTTGGAATAACTAAAGCAGCACAAGAATGACCAAGGTAAACTTGGAGATCAGTAAGTCTATAAAATGCACGATTCTAAATACTACACAGGCATACTGACACTTTAATGCTGGACACAACCAAAAAGATCGATAAAAAAGATATTTGAGTTCCTATACAATCTTCTAAAGTATGTACTACCGGTCACCGGGGAAATAATTAGGTGGTATATTCTCTGCCATGTTTTCTTTAAGGCTTGCCATCATGAAGCTTGGATATATATTCTAGAACTAGACAAAGCGCAGGTGGCTGTAGATTCACCCTTGACCTGCAACAGTTAGGAACCCTGTACTTCCAAGATGCCAATACAATCAAGAAAAGTAGTATCAACATCTGGATACTGCAATGCCCAATAACCAACAGAATGGAACGATGACAATGCTTCAAAGCATGCAGCACTTTTAAATTCTTTGATGGAAAAGCATGCAGCTCTTTAAGATACACTCGGACCACTTGAACTTAGGCTTGTAGCATCTGTTTCCGAACAATATCACAAGCTAATTTCAATCGGCGGCTACAGAAACTTCATCAAGTCGTTTTAACCTTTTCTTTCTTTTTCCTTATGAGTCCACTTGGGTCCAAAAATTGTCAAGTGTCCGATCAAACCGCCAGTACGTAGTCTGCAGTTAGACACAAATATATTTGTAACTCAATAGGGAAAGGGATTAAGAGAAAAAACAGAAATAATTCTCACAGAAAGCAGATCCCATGTCCAGACTTCAATAAACACAAAAAAGTGAAATAATTCAAGTTGATTAAGTTGATGATTAAGTTGGCGCCTATTGAACATGATTAAGTTGATGAAGTATGTGACTGGAATAAATCCAAAATGAAATAATTCAATCAACTTACAAAATTAAACTAATACTATAGCTTTCAATTCGTGTAATTTGATATTTAAAAGAGGGATATCTTTAATCCAAATAGAGTATTTGTTCATCTCCAGCCTTGTAAGAAAAGTTCTATTACCAAAAGAGCTTCAATATCAAATTATACAAATATTTCTCTCCCTTCATTTCGAAATTTGGAAGGAGTAATCTCTATGGCAGAGATAGATATCCCCTCTGAAGGATGGCCTCTCTACTTTGGAAGATATACAGTGGATAGTAGAGCCCAGTTAGGCCAGGGAATGATTGACAATTCTGAGGATAGAATTAATTGAAATTTGATATCAATGTAACGCTATCACAACTTAAGGCTACGTAATCTTTCTCCCAGCACAAAGCACTAAACAAAATGGAAAAAAGAGCAAAACTCGTAAGTAACTTATGTGTCAGCCGTTGAGGTTTAAGATTCTCAGCTAGAATATGCTTGCCTTATACCGATTTCGCACTTCAAGGAAACTTAACGATCAGAGAGATTAAAAGAGCAACTCGAACGAAGAAAATTAAGCATTATACCAAATATCCAAACGCTCAATACCGTAGCCAATATAACGAAATTGCACAATTCAAACAGACAAGAATAATACAAACTATTCATGTTTGATGTTTGAAAGGAAATGAAATAAAACAACCATCAGAGAGAGAGAGAGAGAGAGAGAGAGAGAGCCAACATTAGTAGAAGGTTCAGCAAAAACTCATCAGGATCAATTCCACGCAGCTCCAACAACTTTTTCCTTCGCTCCGTCTCCGTATCATTCCAGATTCTGAAACCAATAGAGAATCGAAAGTTTGATAACAGCATAATATATGATACAATAAAATCGTCTTTCCATTTCTCCAACACAACAACAACAGGAACTCACTCTACAAGCAAACGATAACAGAGGAGTGCTCGATCTGTAACACAATTTGACGAGTCGAAGATTCAGAAAAAACAAGCTAACATCCGATGTTAGCACTAGCTCCCACGAAGAAAAAACCGGGAAGGATCTCTCGGATGGCTCAATAAAATTTGGAGGGAAAAATATCCGTCCAAGCGTAACTACATAAATGGGCCAGGCCCAATAACTTGGGCTTATAGTATCGCAGCCCAATAATTAAATTGGGGCCATTTATTAATTGGAATTTTAATAATTTATTGGACATAAAAAGATTATTTGATAATTAAATATAAATGGATCATAAAAGAGGGTTATCAATTAAAAGATAATGAAGAAATCGCAGGTGTTCAGACAAAGTCGCGGGAGCAAGAGATGACACGTGGCGGGAATGGTTCTCAGCGTTTGAACGAATGAGGACCGTCGGATGACAATCAAGTAGGAAGAGGAATGCAATGCAACCTTGATGAATATTAATTGTGCAAACAAGGAGAGCTTTGGATTGCGTACGCGATTCGTCGACATCGCTTAGCTCCGATTCCGATTACGAATCCACATTAGAACCTCAAAACTCACACAACCTGCATTGCGATTCTCTCAACCTTTTCCGTCCGATCTGTGCATCTCGGCTCCGCCACGGGGAGGAGGAGCCTACCGGCCACCGGAAAATGGGACTCTGCGGCTCCAGGCCGGTGGGTTGTGTCGGAGGAAGACTGGTTCCGGCGGGAAAAAGGAATCGGAGGCGGAGACGAAGAAGTATCAAGCGCCGCCCATCATCCCTAAAGCTCGATTCGTCTTCTGTGCATAATCGGCCTCAGTCTACCCCTACATGTGCAGGTCCCTACATGCACTTTCCCTTTTGTCTACTTTTTAGCTTTCTTTGTCTCTACCTTTATTTTTCTGATCTTGAATTCTTCTGATGGTTGGCGATTAGATTTGGTGCATGTTCTTCAGCAGTTTGTAACATATCAGCTACATTATCTGATAATAATAATAATTTCGTTTCTGGGGAATCTAATTGATTCGTTTTCCCGTGATTTGATCTAGGTAGAGGAAGTGTCGATGCGGCATGGTTTGATTCTACTTCAGTCCTTGATTCGGAATTTGATGACGAGTTTTACAGCTTTCGTGATGGTAGGTCTCTATGACTAATATCGACTTAACGATGGATACTTCTTTTTTTAAATAGCTCTGAGTTCGCACCCAGATTAAATATTTCGTCACCAAAGCATCGAAACACTAAGGAACATAATAAAAATGCTGCGGCAATTCTTGCTAAAAGATCTAGTTATTGCAGAAATGATTTGACCCCCATTTTTGTAGATGAGGTTTCCACAGAAAGTGAAAATGGAAAAGGAAGTGAAGCGGTTGAGTTGAACAACTGCGGGCTTCTTCCAAATACTTGTTTGCCATACCTTGCTGCTGGACCCTCAGTTGAAAAAAAGAGACAAATCAACCAAGGAGCCCCAAATTTAAGGAGAAAAGCATCTTCAAAACTCTCATTTAAGTTGAAGGAAGGACACAATGATCCAACGACATGTGAGTGCTTTCACTAATCTCTTCACGTTCGTAGTTTTCTTCTTGTGCTGATGTGCATTCCCAAATGTATACTTGTATGAGTATTGGAATTTCTACCGCTAAAATTGGAGACTAGCGAGCCTTGTTTAAATCACATGTATTAATTTTTTTGGCCAGTTTCACCAAGGGCGCCTTTACAAAGACCAATAGCAGGCACTTCAGTTCCGCACTGCCCATTAGAAAAGAGAATGCCCAATTGTTGGTCACCTATTGACCCCAGTGTGTTTAAAGTCCGAGGGAAGAACTATTTTAGGTGAATCTATTATGTTGTAGCTATTTCCATGTCTGGTTCTTTTCCTTTGTTTTCTTTAATTTCACATGTATTTTAATTATATTCTATTGATATCATAAGCATGTACACAAGTGAGGATTCCATGTTCAATTTTTTCTTGTTCCCTTCTTTTTTTTTTTTTTTGTTCCTCCATTGGAGTCAGCTTACCTGTGAATCCACTAAATTTTCTCTCGACAGAGATAAGAAGAAAGAGTTTGCTCGAAATTGTGCTGCATATTATCCCATTGGAGCTGATGTCTTCTTGTCTCAGAGAAAGATTGATCATATTGCCCGTTTTGTGGAACTTCCTGCCATAAATCCAGCTGGAGATGTCCCTTCTATTCTTGTAGTAAATGTTCAGGTGTCTATATTTTCGTTCTGCATTCCTTTCCTTGTCCTAGTTTTGGTGTTTTGTGTAAAATCTCTTCCATGCTAGAGAGCATTTCATTAGTAATTTTGTATCGGCATTAACTAAGTACCTGATAGCTATTAATAATTATAAATGTTAAGCCTATAGCTATATCCTCATAACATGTATATATGTTAGGAGATAGTTTCTGTTTGTTAAACTCCTTGGGCACGCTGAAATTATAGTTAGTTATTGGATGTATTAGGTACCACTGTACCCTGCTACAATCTTTCAAGGAGAAAATGATGGGGAAGGCATGAGTGTGGTTATGTACTTTAAGCTATCTGAGAGTTATTCGAAGGAACTTCCAAGTTCTTTCCAAGAACATTTTACTGTAAGTTGTCTTAAACTGTATGCTTGTAGTTTTCTCTTATATTTTCTATGTACCTATACATTTCCTGGAACTTGTCCTACAATTTTTTTTTCAGAGAACTTAATCTATTTCAACCTTCATGTTCTCGTATTGGAAAAATAACTTTTAAAGAAATTATATAATATATAATTGGGTTGTTTTCCTCGACAGAAATTAATTAATGACGAAGTCGAAAGGGTTAGAGGTTTCCCTCTGGATAGCATTGTACCGCTCAGAGAAAGATTGAAAATTATTGGCCGAGCGGCAAATGTGGAGGACCTTCATTTGAGTGCAGCTGAAAGAAAGCTTATGAATGCGTACAACGAAAAACCTGTCCTCTCACGACCTCAACATGAATTTTTCTTGGTAAGCATTGCTTTGATCTATGAACATGTTATGTACATGGTTGTTGCTGCAGTATATGACATTTTAGTTTTACACGGTTGGCTGTGATGATGTGTGTCTTTTATATCACTTACTGTTAATTTTTCGTCCCTTGCTACAAATTATTTGTTTTCAGCTGGAAAAAGAAAAACTTCGCTTTGTTTTCTACATAGTTGGCACTAGTGCCATAGATAACCTTTTAGCATTATTAGTTAGGGTGATAACTAAAACCAACAGGCGCCTCTCAGGGCAGTTCGAGTACGTTGCTTCATTTTGTTGTTACGCTGATCCAGACATCACAATATATTTCTTATGATTAGAATAAATCATTGAGATGAAAGGAACCATAGGGAAGTCTTTTTATACGTCTTTTTGTATTAGGAAAAATAAAACATAATTGTTTCTTGGGAAGGAAAAGTGGATATGGGGATGCTTATCTTCTGAATCTTACGCGCCAATCTAAATCCTCAACTTTTATAACTTTCCCCCTTATTTGCATGTTTTTCTTATTGTGTCTTGTTTAGTGTTTGTTTGAATGCTGAATCCGCGCAGGAAAGTTTCACTTTTTTATTAATTGGCTGCCAAAGTTATCTTTTTGAATGAAAAGACTAATTCAATGCTGTCATTGTCATTGCCAAAGTTATCTTTTTGAATGAAAAGACTAATTCAATGAAAAATGACAGTAATTCTTTTCGGGTTTAGCTTGGAACAATTAAAGTTCCTTTCTGGATTGGTAATTTAATAAGAGTTCAGCACGAAATTCAAGTCTCCCTTTATGTTACAATCTTTACAAATGAAACGACTTTCTCATTCAACTTTCTTTCTAAAAAAGGTTCCGTCTCCCAGTAAACAATAACTGGTCCCAATGAGATATATTCATAATTCATTTAGAATCATATTCTCGTTTCAAATTCTGCAGGGGGAGAAATACTTTGAAATCGATTTGGACATGCACAGATTTAGCTATATCTCAAGAAAAGGTTTTGAATCCTTTATTGACAGATTGAAGCTATGTATCTTGGATTTTGGCTTGACAATTCAGGTAACAAACAATGTTCATCATTTCTCTTACAGTTCATAGGATCATGCCTAAACTATTTGCTAATGTGGTATTGTAATTCAATAGGGAAACAAGGCAGAAGACTTGCCAGAACACATGTTATGTTGTATTCGACTGAACGAAATCGATTACTCCACTTATAAATCACTGGGTATTTAAGTGCATAACCATCAACTGTTTGTGATGTCTGGGAGGGAAACTCAGAAATAAACGCTGTGCTGTTCAGTAAATAGAAGATTAGCAAAGCAAATCAACAACAGAAACAAAAAGTGTAACCCATTTTGGCATAATGTATTCCGTTATATATATTATATATATTTATATATATATATATATATGCAGTTTGTAGTTGTAGTTCTTGTACAATCATTCTTTCGTTCCTGATAATTCTGTAAAAGATAGATTATTCTGAAATACAGATTTTGATGAATACCAAAATTCTGTTTACAGTACAAAATTCATACTTTCAATTTCATTGATTATTTTCATAAACTTGCATACATACATATGAGCACTAAGATTAATTCATAAAATAATGTTTTCAGATCGATGTTAAAACTATGTTCTCAATTTGATATAATTAAGCAACTTGGATTTGATTATAACAATTTTATAATTTGAGGGTCTAGTTGAAATAATTAAATAAAAAAAGAATAATTTGTCCAAACTCTTTAAAAACATCTTCCACTTTATGGAGAATATTCTGGACGCAGTTTCAAGGAAGAAGCATCTTCACCAACCTTTGTTGCTTCTGACCATCATATTCATTTAATTAAAATGGCTGTATTTGCCAAATTATGTACAAAAAGAACAAACAAATTTTCGTTCAACAGTCTTATTCTCTATTCTATTCAACTAATGTGAAGGCATCTGCCAAATGAGATGAATTCAAATTTGGTGAAATAAATGCCACCGACACACCATTTTAGTCAAAAGTTGCAGCTCAATGAACTGATATTCCGAGCAACAACCTAAAAGATTAATGCTTCACCATCCTTTGCACTCAAGATGGCCTTGCCATCTTCAATGCTTAAATAATGGTGATGTATTTTCACCCTTTATGTACATGTCCACAC